GGCAATTGACAAAAACGAGCAAGCCGAATTGACTGTTTTGTTGAAAGAATTATTTAGAAACTATGAAATTCACGTTATAACCATCGTTCATAATCCAAGAGGAACGCAATCTAAACCCTTTTCTTATATTCATGAGTATGCCATTTTTGTTATTCCCAAAGGTAAAGGAGAAATTATAAATGAAAGAAAAGTTGATGTTGAATGACAAGATTTTATAATATCCAGCAATAATGTAAGTGATAATTTAAGAACTACAAATAATAACTGTTTTTACCCTATCATTGTCGAAAATGAAAAAGTCGTTGGTTTTGGTGAGATTTTGGATGAAAAAGAGCATCCGGAAAAATCTATCGTTGAAAAAGGTAATAAACTTTATGTATGGCCTATTGATGAAAAAGGAATTGAAAGAAGATGGAGATATACCAGAAAAAGCGTTGAAAACGAGAAAGGCCGTTTGAGAATGAATAAGAAAAAAAATAAAATTGAATGTGAAAAATCTTCCGAAACTTATAAAACAGTCTGATACGAAAAAGGCAGATACGACGCTGGTTCGGGTGGAACTACAATCCTTAAAAATTTAGTTCCTAACAATAATTTCAGTTTCCCCAAATCTCTCTGAAATGTCTACGATTGCCTTTATGCGGTAGTGGGAAATGATAAAAATGCGATAATTTTAGACTTTTTTGGTGGCAGTGGCACCACGGCTCATGCGGTATTAGAACTGAATAAGCAAGACGGAGGGAACCGAAAATTTATTATTTGCGAGCAAATGGATTATATTGAAACTGTAACCCGGGAAAGAATTAGAAGAGTTTGTGAGATTGATAATAAAGGTTCTTTTGTTTATTGTGAATTAGCCAAATTTAACCAAGGATTTATCGACCAAATTCAAAAGGCTAAAAATACTGCTGAACTCTGAAAAATTTGAGAGAAAATGAAAGAAATGGCTTTTTTGAGTTATCAGTTAGAAACGAAAAATATTGATAATACCAAAGCGGATTTTGGAGAGTTATCTTTTGAAGACCAGCAAAAATTTTTGATTTCCCTGCTAGATAAAAACCTTTTGTATATTCCTTATTGTGATATGGAAGATAAGAGTTATAAAATTTCTGAGGAGGTTAAGAAATTAAATCAGCAGTTTTATGGGGAGAAATAAATTATGCTTTGTAATCAGTGTTTCAAGGATGTTGATAAAGAAAAATTTGTAGAAAGTAATGGAGAAAAATTTTGTTTGGATTGCAATTCTAATAATAACAATAGAAACTTTTTGGAGTCCTTAAATTCTGAAAAATTAAAAGAAATTTTATCAAAATATCTGAAATTAAATGATTTTGATAGGAATGACAAGGATAGATTGGCGGAACATATTAGCAGTATGATAGATGATTTTGAAAGTTTGAGTAAAAATGCTAGTGATAAAGCATTATCGTGAATTAATGAAAAAGAAAGAGAATTAAAAAAACTTCTTTTCACTCTAAAAATAAAAATTCCTGAAATAATAAACAAAGAACTAATTTTATTTACTTTGGTTAACGAAAAAACAGGCAATAATCTGTTTGTTGCTTTTCCGCGAGGAGATAAAAAAATATTAGATATTCAATTGAAATGGTGTCAAGTATTCCTAGTTTACATGGAAAAGTGTACAGATGAAGAAGGAAATTTTTATACTGATCGTTTTGACAAAATATTAGAAAAAATAAGTTACCTCTCTCTGGTAATTTTTGGTTATGCTTCTTCTCCTGAAATAAAAAAGTTACATCTTAATAGAAAGGAAATTTACTTTTCCGAGTGCTGCCAAATGTGCCAAAACATGATTAAATCGGGAGAAAAAATTGAAAAAATAGTATCTGAACTTATCCTTGATTGCGAAAATCCTAATTGCACTAACTTCTGAGACGAAAAGTTTGATGAAAGAAAAAAGGCTTTTGATAAAGGAGTAGACAAGGTTATTCTTTTTTACTTAGAGAAATTATTCATAAAGAAAGAAAAATCTGCGGAAAGTTATTTTAGTTTACCCTTTATCCCTCATCAGTTTCGGTACCTGGGAAGATTTTTTTCTCTTCGCTTTTCGAGAACCAAAAATAGCAATCTAAACGAAATCCCCGCACTATTTAAAATTTCATTTAGTCATGACTCGAATATACTAGCAAAAACATTTGGAGACGCCATTGAACATTTTTACAGCAATGAAATGGGTGAGTCGAATGTTGATAAAATGTTTCAATTTAGGGTTGAGTTAGGTAACAAGCCGGACATTTCAATTTTTTCTGATTCGGGATGAAATGAGAGAACGATAGAAATGACAGAATCTCCTCTTTTGCCTCTCACAAAAAGAAATGAAAAAGGCATTATTGAAAACTACGGAGATCATAAAAAATATTTAGGCAATTTTTTGGCAAAAAAGTTGAAAAAATGAAAAGATGAAGGGATTAATAACATAAACGACAGGTTGAAAAGTCTTAAGCCTCTTGAATCTTTTGAAGAAATAAAGAGTGTTACGAAAGAGGGGCAACATTATGCTATAAGATTTAAAAAAATCCCCACTTTTGATGACCTAATAAAAAAAATAATTGAGGCCATTAAGAGAAAAAACAAGAAAAATTACAACTTTGATGCTCTTTGAATTTTTACTCCTTTGTCCTTTTTTATATGTATAAAAGACAAGAAAAACGGAGAAGTTGTTAAAGACGAAGAGACACAGAGATCTTATTTACTATTGTACTTATTAAAAAGGCTGTTGAATGATTTAAGAAATTCCAAGATAAGTTTTAAATTTGACTACTTAATCGTTACTTCCCAGTGTTCTCCGGGTTTATGTTTTGAAGAAAAAATTGGCAAACAGAAAAATAACGAACCTTACCATCACACAAAACTAGTCAATATACCTAATTTATGTATCGAAGTAAAGAAATTAAATGAAAGTGAAATTTTAGAAAAATTAACAAAAGAATTAGAGGAAGAAATTTTAAAGAAAGTTGATAGCATTGATTCTTTATATTTTGACTTGATAAGGGCTTTTGATTATATGTATTTACCACAATGATAGAGTTTAATTTCTTCTTGACCAGTTTTCTAATTCTGAAAAATACTGGATATATATCTATCTCCTAAAATTACCGTATTATGAAACTTATTTACATTAAATCTACTATTACTCCCAAAGATTATAGTATAGTGCGGGAAATACTAAAAAAAGAAAGAGGGGAAAAGTTGGCTCCTTTTATTACAATGTGCAAAATTATTGCTCGTTTTTAGAGAAATCATAATTCAAACAATGTTCAAAATATTTAGTCATATCTTTTTCCTGCAGTTCAGTTATTCCTTTTTCTATAACTCATTTTAGTTCTTCATAAGTTCTTGGTTCATGTTCTTCTACAAACTTTCTTAGGAAATTAAAACATAGTTCAACTGGGTTTAGTTGAGGAGTATAAGGAACTAAATAAAGAGGATCAATATTCATTTGAGTAAATAACTCTCTAATCGGCAGTCTATCTTTCTTCAAACAAGCCTTGATCGCCTTATGAATGCTGGCATTATCTAACAGCAAATAATACTTTTCATCATTGAGAAAATAAATCTCTTTAATGAAATCATGAAAGTCTACTGCTTTAGTTCCTTTCTCAATTAATTTTCAATGAATAACTCCTTTACCATTTACATTTCTAATACACAAGAGTAAAGTATAGTGTTCTACAAAGTTTCCAGGCTTTCAAGAAATAACTCTTTCTCCTTTCCAACCCCAAGCTCTCCGAGGTGCTTCGTTTAAATAGAAAGCACATTCATCTTCAGCCATAAGTTGTGAGAGTGATAAACTCTTAACTTTATCTACAAAAGGTTTAATCTTTTCAAGGAAAGATTGTTGCTCAGAATAGTGATAACCTATCTTCTTATGAGTAATGCCATATTTCTTGTAAAGTCTAGAAATAGTGGATCTACTGACTGGTTGCCCTATTTTTCCCGAGTAGACCTGAGCTACTCATTTCTGTGATTGCGACTTATAAACAGTGCGACAAGCATGTAAAAAAGAAAGGTCATAACCTTTGATTTTAGGTGGGCGACCAACTTCTTTTTTTGGTTTATTTTTTTC